TGTCCGCCTTGCTCCGATCCTGCAGCGGCTGGTTTCCCCGCCTCGCCGCCCCGGCCCACGCCGGCAGCGACGAGGGCGTGCCTCATCTCTTCCTTCCCCTCTCCAGCTCTCCGATCGTACCTCAGCTCGTGCTCTTCCAACCTCAGCATCTCGTGCATTGTAGCCCTCGACAACATCGAATCAAACATAATACGGTCTTTAGTTTTCTCAAACCTTGGGAGAAATCCCCGGACTATGTGCCTGCACATCGACTTTTCATCCCTGTTATCACCAAACGATCGAATTCTCATCCACAGCGCAACTGCCTACCGTAATAGCCCATTAGACTCTCTCCTTGCCTCTGGCCTATTACGTTCCATGCGTCGTCAAGAGTTTGTCGCTCCTGACTCTTGTCCTGGCTGTATTGTCCGAGAAACACGCGGTACCCTGCTTGAGGTGATTCTGATGCCAAGATTTGGGCTTGTACGGCTTGTGCTGTGATCTTAGCTAATAGCATAAACGTGCAAATCTTCCTGGATTGCTTCACTCTCTCCTCTCCGAACGTGCTGCTCAACCAGTTCAAATCCACACCAGCTGCACCAGCAGGGACCTCTGAACTCATCACACCAGCAAGTCCCTCACTCTCCAGCCACGCTTCAAAAGCACTCGTGAACACTCGCAATGCAACTTCGATCGATCTGTTCTTCAGATAGTCATCACTCCATACTGGTACATCTATCTTTTCTCTCTGCCTCAGTTCTAAGATCTGGTTGTTAGACGTGCCTGAGTGGGCACGGTGCCCCTGGTCATGAGTTGATGTCGCGAAGGCCTGCTTGAAGGGGTCAACCAGCTCATGCATTGTGTCGCGCTGATCTTCCCCTCCTGCCGCTTGCGCACCCCCTCGGTCTCGTGCATCGTCGCTCCCTCCTCCGTCCGCGACGCCTTCCCCGGGGGGAGGGACAGCCTGACCTGATCCCCCCGGAGGTTGTCGTCCGTCTCCGTCCGGCATGTTGCGCGCTTAGACACGGCGGCCACTCTCTTGATCGTTACGCTAGCGTGTTGAGTAGCTTTGTGCGTCGGTGCCTTGGCGCGCGGGGTCCCTTGGTTGGGAAACAAAAGAGCCAGCGGCGCGGTAGCCGCCAACGGTACAGTGTAGGAACTATGATGGTCGTGACAGCCTTCTACTTTGGGATGGAGCGTGATAGCTCGGGTATGGTATCTCTGGATGTGGCGTGGAAGCCTGGTTACGTGATGGTCGTTGTGTATAGGTATAAGAAAGGACGTGGATGTCCGGAAGGCGTGGTAGCCGGGTGGCGTGATAGCCAGAACTGGCGTGGAAGCCGTGGCGTGATAGCCGTGGTAGCGTGATAGCCAGGGAAAAAGGACTTCATTGCACACAGGAAGGAGGAAAAAGAGGAAACAAAAACAAGTGAGAAACCACAACGCACAATCACCATATCCGTTGTAGACACACACATACCCCCACCCTCAATCCTGTAATATACGGCAAAGTTGGTACCATCCAATCGAATCCAAAGCAACTGCTGAACCCCCAAACTCCCCGCTCCATCTGCTCAGAAATTTCTTGCTTGCAATAATCTGTCGATGCTGTGAGTACGTCTAACAGCGCACATACCAAGCGACGTTCGAACACGTTCTGCAGATCCTCGCGAGCAATAGGCGCGTCTGTCTTAGCCCCGTGCTGAGCGCAGGCGTGCCCATCTTTCCCGAGAAGATACACAGACAGACCTGCGGAGACGCTGCTCAGGGTGATGTGCACCTACGCAAACTTGCTGCTGTGACGATGCACCCTCTCTGATGTTGCTGAACGCACAAAGGCTCTGACTTTTGAGGTCTGGTGCTAGGGGTTTAGAGCAGCGGCCGCCTAGCAGTTGCCCAACCTGACGATGAGTGCACGTTAGCTCACGCTCTCGGTGTCGCACCCACCTCGTGTAGTTCCGCAGCTGCCGCTTAGGTAATTTTTTGCGGTTCGGGAACGTGCGTCCTGTCGAACCTGCCACTCTGCCGGTGCGTATTATAGTGTGCGTATTTGTTGGTTGAGCAGGTGTGCAGTTTGTTCACGTCTGGCGGCGGGCAACCTCGGGAAAAACTTTTGTTTGAGTGGCCCCTTGCCCCTTGCCCTTTCGTTGCTGCTCACGCACACCGCCCTCACAGAATTATTCCTAGACTGGGGATTCTTAGCTTTTTTTGTTGAAAAAAGTACCCGCAGAAGGCTGGCGCGCCCGTCTGTTTTGGAACTCTGGGGGATGACGGTAATTCACACAGAGGGGGGTCTTCACCTCGAAAAATGCCAAAAAAACTCGCATACTCGCCTCATGGTGGGTGACCAGACTACAAAAGCAGGGAAGGCACAATTCACACACAAGATATACCCTGACACCCAAGCATTGAGAAGTGTACAGCAGTACATACATTGTCAATGATTGTGTCTAGGACCGTATTGGTGATGCCCCTCTCCAACTCTCCAAGGCTCCAAGGTCGGTACCGATGAAATTAATGCACTGGACTTGGCCGGAAACGGACAAATCAACAGGCGCTTGAATCGAGACCGAGACCAACCAAACGTTTCTTCTCTCCTCTCGCTTCCTCCACCGCAACACTTGTAGCCAACAGCAGCAGCAGTAGAGGCAAAAACCTCTCGCACACAGGTGTAGAGAGGTGCGCCGCAGTGCATGCATCACCAATGGTGGTGTATAGAAATGAGCGTGTTGTTGTGATGCCTCTCTCCAAGGTTACTGCCGAGACGAAAGAAAACGCTGCACAACAAACAACCAACAAGCGGTGAACCGAGACCAAACCAAACGTTTTTCTCTTCTCGCTTCCTCCGCCGATAACTATAGGGCAAACCCTGCCCCGTCTCGCTCCCGCCGTGGTGTGTCTCCCTCCACCCTTGTCCATGTCTGGCTCTGTGTGTTGCCATGAGTGACAACGTACCTCTGGTTCCAAAAAATATGGTATATACGCTTCCTCCGCTATCGAGGGGACGCACGGTCACACGCGTCTTTCCGACATCAGTTGTTGTGTTTTTTTCGAGCCACCGAGCACGGATCGAGCAAGAAACAGTCGGGACAGCTCGGACAAAATGCTACTTGTTGGGCACAAGCATCGGCGTGCAATTTGGCGTCTAGAATATGAAATGGGCTCCAGTGTAGTGTTTTTTTTATGGGCATGCATGGTCCACTCTGTGGATGAAATTTTCTTTTTTTGTTTGCGCGCGTACATGTACCGGCGATCCCTCAAAACAGATTTTTTCTTGCTAAAGCAAAAATGCCACCCCCATCCGCGCGCCTGAAAAATAGCTATGAAGGCGGTTTCTAACAAGGTTCGGAAATCCAGCTCAAAAATGTGCATTTTCCCATTTGGAAAAAAGGAACTACGTGTCGGTCAAGACGCTTCTTATAGTAGTGCAGTCGGTTTATTTTTTGCTCTGCTGGCTAGGAATGCGGCCGTTTGTGTTTTTCCATTTGCTACCCCGTACCACATCATCATCCGGTCGGTTCGGTTCTTCGGGGATCTCTATGCACTGGGTGACACAACAGCAATAGCAAAGTCATCCCAAGGTAGCTGTTCGTATGGTGCCTCTTGTGGAGTGGTTGTTACAGACCGTGAGGTGCTGGGTGGTTGAGAATTCAGGTTGGCGAGAGGGGCAACTGCTGCTCGAAAAGAGAAAGAAGACCCCCCGCTTGAACGAACAGCTTTTGACAGATTGTTGCTCCATCACAGCTTTGGTTTCGTAGCGACCCCTCTTGTCTGACCGAACGAACAGATACCACAAGGCCATCCGCCGTAGCTGTGTGTATGATGCTTCTTGTGATGTGGTTTTCGGAGACCGTGACGCGCTGGGAGACTGAGCAACGAAGTTGGCGAGGATCGACTGACTGTTGTGTTGTTCGAAAAATAACATCATCGTCATGATGCCGCTCACTGCTGTACAGGTCTCTTGCCGTGTCACCGGTGGCGGTGTAGCTACCCCTCTCCATTGACCGAACCAACAGCAATGACACAGCCCCTCCGACAAAGAGCAGTTGATGGAGCTCACATTCTGGCAAGTTTTCGCAGGAGGGGTGATCTAGCGAGCGAGAAAATGAACGTGTCGTCCATCGATGTGTGCGTGATGGGATGATGCTGCGTCTCTTTGAGGGTCTGAGCAAGCGGTGTGTGTGTCAGCTGACCAACATTTTGCTTTGAGCGCACCTGGCCACACGACAACCACGTACAAACGGCTGGGATGGCAGCGCACTGCTCGGAGGGTTGCTCGGAGCCCTTGATGAGCTCGCTACGACCAGTATTTGCTGCGCAATCGATGGTTTCATCCGCGTGGTGTGCATTTCCAAACGCAAAAATCAAACCGGCCATCCGATCGAAAATTGTCATAGTTTCCAAACGCAGGACCGGTTAAACGTGAAGTCGAAATGTGCAGCCGGAAAAGTGTCATTCTGATCACGTAAGAAACAATTTTTTGTCTAGGATCGGAAATGCACATTTTTTGACTGGATTTCCGAGCTGGATTTCCGAACCTTATCAGAAACCGCCTCAAACTCATGGTTCACTCTGTCATTTGCTCAGCTCTAACACACAGCGCTCTGTCATACCTCGCTCATGGTGCACACAGAAACAAAGCAAGCAGCACATGGGTATGTAAGGCAATAAGGCATACTCCACGCATTCTTGGACTGTTGCACCCGGAAAATACGCCGGCTCGTGCTCTGACTGCAGCACACACGAAGGGAAGTACAGGAGTATGTACGTCTCTATGGCCTCTAATAGCAGTACAGTAAACACGGAGTAAAGTGTTTTTCCTCCGACAGACGCCCCAGTTGCCTTCCTCACGCGTACAGACTCGGCAATATGCGTTCGCCTCCACAGAAGAGAAGGACATGAAGGGACGAGTGTAGGTAGATCTGTTCCAGAGCAGATCGGCGACGATTTCGGTGGTGTTTGGAGTCAGCACGATGAGCACGTCCACATATGCTACTTTTGCAGTTGGAGAGGACCGTTTACTACGATCGCTTAAGCCTTCACTTCACGTGGTTGCAATACGCCCTCGCTCGACGTGTTAGATAGATGGATGTTGGGGGTGGACCATCGCCAAGAGGTAGGTACCCTGAAAAGGAACATATCTATCCTCGAATATCACGCCCAAAAGCATGAACAAGGCTGAAGGCCGGTGGATTCACAAAGAAAGGGGGCGGGCGCGGGAGGTGGGGTAGGCCTCGAACAGAGAGCTTTATCCAAGATGTTGAACCTTCTTGCATCTTAGAATAGACTATATCGCTCCATTTCTGGACATGACTTTTTCCGCACCTTTCGGGGTTTGTTTGCTTTGGACGATATGTTCAAAGACGTTCTATCTTAAAACACGATCGTGCATTACCTCTGAGCGCTTGATGACGCTGTTCAGGCTCCCGACAGAGTCGCACCACTAGAGGTCATCGACGTAGGTTTCCTCCATTCAATAGCATGGCAGGCGTGTTGATGGTCGATCAGTCGCAGGTCGAGGTGCCAACATTGCTCAGCTTTACCTGTGGCCATTGGTCAATTGGAAAACACACGGGTTTCGAAACTCAACACGAGAGCGAAAAACGAAATCGGTAGAGATAAATTCAAAGGCCATGGGGGACCATTGGTCACCATTGTATTTTTACAACATAAGGGTTTCATACACAACACGAGATCTATATATAGAGGGACAGAGGAAAAAAACGCCCACGGCACATCGTGAGGCGGCGTTTTACGATTCCCCCTCAAACGCCCAGTCCGGCGAGCGGACGGCACCTGTATGTGTGGGTATGTGTATGAAACCTGGCTGCTGCTGCTACCGTAGCGACAAGGTTCATTGTAAAGTTCAGCTGGCGCCTTTTCCCGCAGCGTGCTACTACTGTTGCTTCCCTCTGGCATGCTCACTGCTGGAGTAGTAGCAGGCCTCGTGGCCTCCGCTGTCTCTCGATACGATGGTACACTACTTTGAGAAGCACGATGGCCACAGTACGACCAGTCGCCGGCTGGTGGGGTCCAGCGGAAGGAATTTAGCTCTCTTAGTTCCTGTGCAAGAAAACAATATCGCACAATATGGTCAGTTGGCGAAGCGCTGAGGTAGTTAGTACCCCAGAGAAGTCGGAGAGTGCCGAGCTCCATGCCAGACAAAGGGTGACTTGGCTTCAGCGTAAAGAGTGTCCCCAAACACGTGGGGCCATTTTTCATACTCAAGCGAAGTCAGCGAATTTTTTAGTACAACCAGCCCATCCATCTAAATACATCAGTTTCGCACCACCTAAGGGACACGCGGCTAGGGAGATTGCGTGCAGCACGTCAGAGGCCGAGGAGAGACATCGCGCAGCATACCATACCACACAGCGTACCACCTCACCCAAGCATGATAGACCAAAGGTTCTCTCGTGTGTTTCACACAGCGAACCTCGGGCGACTACGCTGCATTATACAGATAAATTTGAGTGCTGTGTCCCGAAGTGTACCTACCTGGGCGTCCAGTGCTAATAAAGGGTTAACACCCGCAGGAGGAGATGGATGTCACACGCGTTGCCCACCCGCTGGTGCTTGCTCTGAGCTGCACTCTCTACAAGGTTGATTGCTGCATGTTTTTACGACCTAGTGACTCCCTGCTTCCCCTCGCTACCTCGGCAAGGTTTTGGTTATAGGCATGACCCATAGCGAGGGGGGGGTCTTTCTAGCGAGCAGGGCTAGACTCACCATCAAGGGTCCCATACCTTCTTGCTGCGGAGCACCCGCCGCAAGGCGTGCGTAGCGGTGGAGTTGGGTCGGCACTGGTGCGTTAGGTACAAAGGTGCACATGCGCGGGCCTCCATGGCCGTCGGTGTAAGCAGTAATGCCCATCTCATCTTTGTGCGCGGAGACAGATGCCGTCAGAAAGGTGGACGGGCACTATGTACACGGCCCAAGGTTTGCTAGAGGGAGTTGTACTGTCTCAGCAACCTGGTTTTGCCATCAAAGGATGAGGGGACAGGTGGTGACGAGCCGATTGGGCTGGTTGACCCTTCGGCGCGAGAATTTTCAGACTAAGAACCCTAAGTGCTTCGAGGGATAAAGCGAGGAATACCGACTGGGAAGGACATCAACGAGAGCGTGTACGAACGGAGCGGGTCGAGTTTGGTCGTGCTAGGACTAACCACAGCGGCCCCGGAGCAGCGGCACCGGAGCAGCAGCGGAACCGGAGCAGCGGAACCGGAGCATGCGGACGGCATCGAACCGTGGCGCACGGACAAGCCTCTCTTGTGTTCAATTACTTTTCCGTTTGTTTTTCCTGCAGCCTATAGTCTAGTCTAGTCTAGTGTGTGTGATGACATCACCGGTTAGTAGAGAGACGCGGCAGAGATGGCGCGGATAACCCGGGTGCCTTAATTGTGTACCTGCATCGTGGAAGACCCCTTCAATGTGGAACATTCCTAGTCAGTGTCGATGCTTACACTGCTGTGTCTATCACAGATGATCGGGATAGATTCGGGTGATTGTCAGTTGCAATGGTGGCTTTGGTGGTTGTTCTTCATTGTATGTCCACGGACGCATTCTGACAGCACTTCAGACAGTAGCTGCATGCCCCGAGCTGGTGTACCATGCTTTTACCATGGTGTTATTGTTGTACAGACAGCACTTCAGACAGCAGTACGCTGTTGTCGACAAACATTCATTTTGGTGAAGTGCGGGACAAGAGGGGTGATGCTGCTGTTGTAGTCGAANTGGTTGTTCTTCATTGTATGTCCACGGACGCATTCTGACAGCACTTCAGACAGTAGCTGCATGCCCCGAGCTGGTGTACCATGCTTTTACCATGGTGTTATTGTTGTACAGACAGCACTTCAGACAGCAGTACGCTGTTGTCGACAAACATTCATTTTGGTGAAGTGCGGGACAAGAGGGGTGATGCTGCTGTTGTAGTCGAACGGTAGTGTGTGGGCGTGTAGTTCAGTTGTGAGCACGCAAACGTGCTGCAGGGATTGTAGGTGTAGTGTAGACTACCTCTTCGGGACTGCTGTGTACCCATTTCTTGCTATAATAGTGTGCGTGCGTGTTCTTTAGATCTTCTGATGGCTCTAGCATTTTTGTGACCACGGACCGAGTCTTTGCTAGGTTTTGGGATTAGCAACTGACACGAGTAAAATGTGGAGACAACAACAACAACAACATGACGCGTCTGCTCCATCACTGCTCACGTTCTCTGCAATTCTCCTCCCGGCGAGTTCCCATTCCTCAGCAGCACCTGGTGTCGAATTTCTTTCTACAGCGCTGTCAGGCGTCGCTTCGACCGGCACCCTCCGCCGTCCTGCAACGCACAGTAGACAAGTACACTTGCGATGGTGCATCCTCCAACCATCGTCGTTGTCGCTGCTGGTGACGAATACCGTCCGCCATTGACTATTCAAATTACAAGTTGTAAAAGTTCGAAACAAGTAGTCTTTGTGAGACAGACCCAAGGCACCCCCTAACATTACGTACGCCGATCTCTGAGATGGAAACAGGGTATATGAGAGAGGAAGCAGATGGGCGAGTAACAGATAGGCAAAGAGCGAGTGGATCAAACAGCACCAGTGCAGCTGTCTACTGTACTCCCTAGCTTGACAAATGCGACATCCATGTGATCAGCCACACTCGCCCGTCTCTCGCATTTTGCCTCCGATAATGCATGGTGTAAGATATACTCGCAGCAGTCTCTAGACGTGAGGATCCTCGGGGATACGTGTTGAGAATTTCGTATGTTGATGGGTACCACCGATGCAGATACGGGGACCCTTTTGGCCTTGGTTGCGGTGTTGAAGGCTCGCGCATCTAGCGCACTGCTTTCGCTCTCTCCACCGCTACCGCCGTCTCTCTCCAATCAAGTTTCCTTCTCCAACGCTTTCTCCAACGCCAACGCAATCTCAATCTCTACCTCTCTCTCTCGGCCTAACACGGCCGACTACCCACTGCCCCAACAGACGCCCAACACGGGCTTGCTGCACC